GCCCTAATATTAAAACAAATGACCGTCTTTTCTCAATTTGCCCAGGTCACCTCACAGGAAAACATGAACGCCATTTTGCTGTATCGGGTTGCCCTCTTTACCACAATCTTTCTGCTGATGAATGCAAAGTGAGTATCTTAAAATACAGTGTAGGTCTTTTTAAAAGTTGATGATCTGATGGTATATTTCAGTTGCTTGTCCACTGTCTTTAGCTATGATGAGGATAGCCAAAACTGCTTATATCATTGACAATGTTTTATAGTTGTATTTTTGTTAGCCTCATTTGTTCTTCATATTCCAAGATTTATTTTTCCCTTCATGATGTGATCCTTCTATTTTTTTATGATATATACATATATTTAACACAATGCTGTTTGGGGTGTCTTCTTTAATTTTCATCACTAAGTTTAATTAATGGGTAAATGATATGGTCAGACGCAACAGTGTAGAACTTTATTGTACCTTTATGGTAGCGAGGGGAAGCTCAGTTAAGTTGACCTGATGATAACACTTACTTATAAACAATATTTAAGAGAATTGGAGCAATAAGCGGATTTTTGGTTTTGAAAAACAGACTGTAATTCTACCATTACTCTTCATTATAGGTGAAAGCCATCAGCCGTGAGAAACAAGAGGAGGAGATGAAGGGACAGGAGGAAAGCAACTCACGCCATGCAACTCGTCACCAGGTAGTTTCTCTTTGCAATGATTGGCATCACGTTAGTTAAGTTTACTTTCTGGAAGCATGTGAATGTTATGTAAGACCGCACAAGTCATAGTGTCAGATGTTACCATGAAAGTAAAGCATTTCTATATTGATTTTCAGACACCAACATCGAAACAGAGCAGATACAAAGAGCAGGTGGCTGAGATGAGAAAGGGGCGAAACTCTAGCCTTCAGAAGGAGCAGAAAGAAAAGCACATGGTAACAAACTGCCACTCACAACGTGCATTTGTTCACTTGCGCTTTGACACTCCATGTGTCACTATTACAACTGGCACTCCATTGGTACTTTTTTATGTCGAATGGTTTACTGACATATCTATATTCATCTTTCTGTCTGGTCTACAGGAGCACCGGCAGACACATGCCAACACCCGAGAGCCTCTGCTGGAGAACATCACCAGTGATTATGACCTAGAGCTCTTCAGAAAAGCCCAAGCCCGAGCATCTGAAGATCTGGTAATGGGCTGTTTGATATATCGGTGCCACTCTTGCATTAAGATTTGAAATACTAAAAGAACTGGTTATAAATCACTGTTAATGTTTAAGAAATACCCCTTGTATTTTAAAAACTAAACTTCAGTAGAAATATCTAAGTGTTGCCTGTTTTGGTGTTGGATATAAACACACTGACCCTGTTGTGTTATCTCCCTTTTTCAACATTCATGTCCTTTGGGTTTTTGCTGGATAACCTTATCATCTTTCTTATAGAGCAGGTCTAGACCGTACTCTTTGTGGTATTGTAATATTCTTCAATCATCATCAGTCAACTTTTTAACAGGTTCAAAATCACCAAAACACATGGTTCCAATACACTTTACAAAATGCTTTGTAATTAAATAAAATCAACCATAAAATACAGAATGCATGTAAAAAAACACAAGATAAAATGCAATCAGAATAGAATCAGCAAAATAAAATCATAAAAACTATTTAATAATTTAAAGTTTGCTCAATCTTGCCCTAACAAAGTTTTATTCAACAGAAAGGACTTAAGTGTAGCATTAAAAGTGGTGATGTTGTCTGATGATTGGTCAAAATTGCAAGTCACGCTGAATTCACAGGGATTTGTTGAATTTGTGTTAATCGATCGCGAAATCCTGGAGGTACTGAGTAACACTATGTATCCCTTTCTGTCTTCCCTCCTACAGGAGAAGCTGCGTATCCAGGGTCAGATCACCGAGGGCAGCAACATGATCAAGACCATCCTATTTGGCCGCTACGAGCTGGACACCTGGTACCACTCGCCCTATCCTGAGGAGTATGCACGTCTGGGTCGCCTCTACGTCTGCGAATTCTGCCTCAAGTACATGAAAAGCCAGACCATTCTCAGGAGACACATGGTGAGAGTCAGAGACTTACATCTCAAAGTCTGTGATACATCATTTAATGTCACACCAAATACTGTTGAGCCACAGTTTTTTTCAGTTGTAGATTTGGGTTTTTGTCTATTCATGAGATACTACTACTGACTATCTGACCGACATATACACTGATAGTTTATAATAATTAAAGCTAAAAATAGAGCTAAAATGTTGTATAATCACATCTATAGATTACGTCCATAATTTAGAAATTGTGGAAAGAGATGTAAAATTTTGGAAAAAAACTTTCATATTACATATCGTACCTATTAACACTGCATTTTAGCACTCAAATATATGTATTTAACATACATGTACATACTCGCTGAGGTCTTTGGAAATAACGCTGATGTGTGTTTTATCCTGTGTCTTTTTAGGCCAAGTGTGTGTGGAAGCATCCTCCAGGAGACGAGGTGTACAGAAAGGGGGCTATATCTGTGTTCGAAGTTGACGGCAAAAAGAATAAGGTAGAGAGAAATCTTTGTGTTACTCCGTCTGTTTTTTTGGTAAATCTCCCAATATCACAGACAATGACATCTTACTTTTAAGACAATTAACTAAGCAACTCACATTTTATCTCTAGATCTACTGCCAGAACCTATGTTTACTCGCCAAGCTGTTCTTGGACCACAAAACGCTGTACTACGATGTGGAGCCTTTTCTCTTTTACGTCATGACTGAGGCCGACAACACCGGCTGCCATCTAGTGGGATACTTTTCCAAGGTAAATGGAAAAACAAGATTAGATTTTTGGTGTGTAAGAATTATATATTGTATAAATTATGTATTTGCATTCAGAAGCAACTGTAATGTATTTCTGTTTTATTACTTCAAGGAGAAGAATTCTTTCCTCAACTACAATGTCTCCTGTATCCTGACAATGCCGCAGTACATGAGGCAGGGCTTTGGCAAGATGCTCATTGACTTCAGTATGTATATGTTCACTGTTTTGTTTTTTTTCTCTCATTTGAACATCATGTCAACTGCTTTAATCTTAAGACTCATCTTTTTCACGCTGTTTAGGTAAACTTTTATTCCACACAGTTTTCTTGAGAGAAATAATCCTTTAAGTGATGCTGTTGTATCGTATACTCTGTAGAGTCATGTGAGATCTGAGAGTATTTCTAAAATAAGCTTCAATTCCATAATATTTATACAGGACTTTTGCATTAGATAGCATGAGACTGTACAGGCTTGTGACTTGAAAACCCCCCTCTGTGTATCCACTTGTTATAGTGATCATTAAGTAGAGCACATTACGCAGTGTGTAAATGTATCAGCCGTCTTTTCACATTTATTTTTGATTAAATTGTTTTAATTTGAAACACTGATGTATTTTCAGCCTTTAGGAATGAAATCAATATTATTTATATAGGCTACTATTATGTGTTCTTTCGGACTGTCTTCTGTGCTTTTGTTTAGGCTACCTGCTGTCCAAAGTGGAGGAGAAGGTGGGCTCGCCGGAGAGGCCTCTGTCTGACCTGGGCCTTATCAGTTACCGTAGCTACTGGAAGGAAGTGTTACTCAGATACATGTGTAATTTCCAAGGCAAGGAGATTTCCATTAAAGGTGAGTGGGAGTACAGAATTCAAGCAGGCGACCCACTTGTTGGCGGGAAAGATTTATTAACACATGAATGTCTTTAGCAAATTACACACATGCATATACCAGACGTATTTACTGTTGCAATATTTGCTCGCTGCACAGAGATCAGTCAGGAAACCGCTGTCAATCCTGTGGACATTGTGAGCACCCTGCAGGCTCTACAGATGCTGAAGTATTGGAAAGGAAAGCACTTGGTGTTGAAGCGACAGGTAAGATCCCCAACAATTGGTCTGTGTGTTTCTCTTCTACTGTTTGTCATCGCTCAAAATAATTGTATTGTAACATCATTTTCATATTAAGAGATCATGTTGCACAATTCCCATATCTAACTGAAACATTTAATCTTAAAAAAAAATTCTTCAGGTCAAAGTTATTATTTAACTAGAACGAACATGAGTTTAACTTTTACTCATGTTGTTTTTTATATTTCAGTGAAAAGTGGACACTTTAATTTCAAGATAATGCTGTAATAATTATCAGATATATCACATTTCATATACCCCAGTCCAAATGTCCTTGTTTTTTTTTTCCTCTTAAAAGTGACAAATTACACCATGCACCATGCTCACGGTATTTGACAGACCGGTTTGTTACTTTTTTCTTCTTCCCAGGACTTGATTGATGAGTGGAAAGCAAAGGAGATCAAGCGAGGCAATAGCAACAAAGCCATCGACCCGAGCTCACTAAAATGGACCCCACCCAAAGGGACATAAGCACTAAGATCCTCAGGCTACTGAATGAACTCACCTCCAGCCTCACCAGCCACAAGTAGCCTAGACCTAAGAACTGTCAATAAAGACCAGTGTTTTTTCTTTCATGATTTTACCCTTCTCATTTGTGTCACAGAACTTTTTACTTTTTATATTTTTACTTTTCATTTATATTTTAAGCACCATTACGTTCCAAGTCCTATGACTCTTGACTTAAACATTGTCAATTAACAGTAGAGAATCTGTTTGTCCTATTTGTTTTAAAACTGCCTACTTCTAATGAGCTTTGAATGTTAAATGATAAATGGTCCAGTGTGGTGGATAACATGAATGTTCTGCTTTGCAAAAAAAAAAAAAAAAGAAATACATTTCTACATTTGGCAGCATTTGCAGAATTTTGTTTTATTTCACTTAAGAAATGTGCAGCATTTTGAAGGTGGTAGCTGTTTTTGTTTGGGATTAATACAATAATTGTTAGCATGAATTGAAACAGTGAGCAGAGTGTATTTCGAGGAGTATGATGTATGGTAATGTCTTTGGTTGGTGTAAAATTGTATAGATCATAGTAATATGTACTACTTTTTTTTTCTAGCTCCATCAATACAGGATTTGGACCCATTCCACTGATGAACCTGCCAAATAGTGGGAAAATAAAGTCAGATATTTTTAATTTGTTGAATATAGAAAGTGATGACAATACCACTGTAAGAATGCACATAGAAATAAAACAACCTCAGGTTTTTATACTGATACAATCATACCTTGCTTGAGTGGTTTCTCTGAAACATCAATTGCAGTGGTTGTTGCAGATGGTTTAATTCTGGTTAAAGATTCTGTAATAAACAAAGCATTTTAATGAGACTCTTTGCTTTGTACTTGTGATCATAGTTGTCAAAATGTGTGTTAGCAATTTGATATTTTTTAATATCAATAAAGCTGCCTTGATATTTTGAAGTGAGTTAGATTTTGTTTCTTGATATTTGTGATTACCACCGCTGGAAATGCTTCTTCCCATCAGGCCCACAAACACCTCTCCTTTATTTCCTAGAAGTACGAGAAAAGATGCTCACATTTACAAAGTGGCAGTTTCACGGTCACAATGTAAAGATAATGCTGCCGTAAAAGAAAAATATGTTTTCTTTTCAAGTTATCAACAGACAAATCATGTTTTCAAAGACATTTTAGCAGTTTAAAGGGCATTGCTAGTTTTTAGTTACAGTATACTATAGTTTGACAGCAACATCAAGCTACTTACGTCTGTTTACTTGAAAGGGTTTCTTTTTTTCTGTGAGGGGGAAAAAGGTATTTATAGCTATGTACCAGTCCATTTATATTCATTACCACAGACTAACTCAGTATATTGAGCCCTAGAAAAGAGTACATTTAAATACACAAAAATACAATTGTTGCATGTTATGTTTATGCAGAAATGAGGTTAGAGGCCACCTGAGCGTTTCCCCATGAGTCCATAGAAACGAAGCGCTTTAGATCTTTTAATCAGACTGGCCAGCGGATGTGTCAGATCTGCCTCCACTGACTCATCCTGACAGAAAAATATATATTTTTGGTTTTATAAATAAGGCCCAACATCAACAACCAAATAATTTAGTATATAATTCATAATCCCTTGTTATTTATTATAATTCAAGCAGAACATTTAGCACATTTCTGGAATGAAACCAGTAAAATATGTCCATATTGTCTCTGAATTTCTGATGATAATAAAAAAAGTACTGATGCTCACCTGCCAGTCTTTAGATAACCCTCTCTCCTCTTCCACACTGGAAGACAGTGCCTCATAGGTTTGCACCAAAGCACAAAATGTCACAACAACAAGCTGGATCTTCCAGTTATCCATTTCTTGGTCAGAGTGAAATGCTTCAGTTCTTCAATGAAAGTAGTATTTTTGTTGCCTGAGCTTCAATTTCTAAATAAAATGATACTGGACAGATGTGATTCAGTGTTGGTCTGATAGCTCCAATTGTCCCCAGGGTGTATTTATACCTCTATACCCCATGCTGCTAGACCCCTCCCCTCCAAACATGATTACGCACTTGTTTCCATTGCATTTGAAAACTTCCAGATTTGCTCTATTCCAATAAAAGGGTCTCTTTTCACATACTGTATTTCTTCAGTTGTTCTATAGTTGGAACTGGGATGTCACCAAAAGATTTACTGGCAGTGTTAAAGAAAATGTCCAGTATTATTAACCTAAATATTTACATTTGAGATGGTCACCTTTCATCTCCATTTTTATTAGACATCTGGATTGCTATTGGTCTAAAAATATCCCCCTGTTGCTCATTTGTACCTTGTGATGTGCACATGCTTCTTTGATATCACCGGCGAAGAGGACATGCAGGCGCGTCTTTGAGCGACGCTTTGCAAATATATCTATCTGCTTTGAAGTTAGTGCTTTATTGGTTAGCCAATTGACTTGGTGAATTAATTGGTAGTTCTAGATTTATAAAGCAGGGCAATACTGATGTGACAAATGAACTTGATTATATATATATATATATATATATATGTGTGTGTGTGTGTGTGTGTGTGTGTGTGTGTGTGTGTCTGCAAGATTTGTCTTCTCAGATTTATTCTTGATTAAATTTATTATTATGTATTCTTTCTGACTATCCTCTGTGTTTTTGTTTAGCATATATATATATGATCCAGCACATTTGTCACATCAGTATTGTGCCACTTTATACACTGATAGTCAAAAGTCAAGCAGAAAAAAAGTGCTCACTATTTAGAAACACCAGCAACTAGACAGATGACATTTCAAGTGCAATGAGATTTATGAAATGTGTTGAACATCACAACCTGAAATATACCAAAATTGTTCACCACACCAATATTTGTGACTTTCTGATTAGGTGATATGCCACTAGGGTCATTAATTTTCCATCTCCTGATATAATTACACCGTTATTAAACCTTTTCATGAACTTTACAAACGGAGCTCTTTTTCCAATACACTGGCTATAAAAATTTCTGGAGAAGCAATTACTTGGCAATTATCTGTGTGTTGTAGGGACAACCCACTTGAAACAAAGCTGACACACACATCAAATGCTTTGATCCGCACACAGGTGCTTTTAAAAACAAGAAAAGCCCAGGACAATTAGGCCTGAAAGGCAATTACACCTGAACAGCCCTCGTGTGCACATAGTCTAACCCACAGCTAACGTGGAGTGCTGAATCAAAAGAAATCAGAGGCACAACATCTGCATATGAAATGGTTCAGTCACAAAGAGCTCCCGTAATGACAGAACGCTGCATCTCCATGTGACGCAGGGTAGTGGCTTGGGAGGCCATTTCAGGATTTGCACTGCTCACTGCTGGTGATTCACTGCAGGTGTTGAGTCTGATATTACCTCTGATCCATTTCATATTTAAATATATGACTCTTCTAGTGCTTTAAATTCTAAATCTCCTATGACAAATTTCCTATGACAAGTGACGCACAACAAATGTAATCATGGTCATGGGTCATCGCAGGCTCTTTAGAGAGCTTTGAGTCTGATAAGACAAGAAATATGTTACCTTGATTGCTGTGGATCACCTTCTTACAGTTGCATGGGATGTGTAATTATCAGAGTAATCTGCCATCCTGGTTTCTGTAAGAAGTGTAACTGTAATCAAAGTATAAAGTATACAAAGTGTAACCACTTTTCATGTATATTTGGAACATGCATGGTTGAAGAGATCAACTGTGCTTCATTTGTATTGGGAGTGACTCATCCATAAAGACCACAGATCATTTGTAGATCATACATCAATGTATTGTTACTGTTTTTTATTGAGGCCTTGGGAGATTTTGAAATAAACAATCTCATATCCCATTCTGACACATAATTCTTAATTTAGCCATTAACACTCTGTCTGACTACGTAATGATTTTAACATGTTGACTTAAACAGCAACAATTACCACAGAGGCCTGAATGGTCCAGCTCATCAAGTCGATGTCTTAAAGGTTCACTCCATGGATTTTACACATGAAGATGAGTGCTCCTGAGTCTGAATAAATAAAAATGTTTTGGGGCATTTTTATGCCTTTATTGGATTGCTCATAGTAGGGAGATGACAGGGAACCCAACCGGTTGAGGCAGATGGCCGCCCACCCTGAGCCATGCTTCTGCTTGAGGTTTCTGCCTCTTAAAAGAAAGTTTTACCTCACCTCTGTCGCCTAGTGCTTACTTATGGAAGGAATTGTTGGATCTCTGTAAATAATATCACATGCATGGTCTAGACCTGCTCTACATGAAAAGCACTATGAGATAACTGTTGTTGTGAAATGGCGCTATATAAATAAAATTGAACTGAATTGGAATGAGGGGAGAGTGAGAGGGAGACTGTCATACAGCAGAGGTCACAAATCAAGGATGTTGCAGGTAATGGTTGACGGCTTAACCCCTCGGCCAGAAGGACTCCTAAAAGAGTTATCTTAAAAAAAAAAAGCCTGCATTACAAACTTGGGATGTGGAGTTTGTAAGTATTGGGCATTTAGGAGGCAGGCGAGTTGAAGTGTTGGAAAAGTGGGGAGTAGGATCCAGAGAGTCTGAAACTTGACATATAGAGACTGCTGCATTGTCTCTTGTGAGTCACACAATTTTATATTTATTAAAGTGCAATACTAAACAGCTGCAGTGCTTCATCTTAGTGGCCGAACATCTTTCATGGATTTAAAGATTTTTAATTTGGTGACATATATTGGCTTGATTTTGTACACTAAATCTTTCTTGACTAATTGCCTCAGTTATTGCCAGGGAATCTCACTCATTATCATCAGACAGGGAAACTGTACGTGATATGCACAGTCTCTGTGCATAATTTCTTTGTGGTCTGAAGTAATAAAAGCCATCATCTTTCCCTCTATGCCGTCCTGTGAATGCTTTCATTTGGCTTTAAATAAATGCCACCATATTGTCAGTTTGATGGTCTCAAACATTTAGTCTTAGAATGAACTATTATTATCAAATCAATATAATTTTATTTCATCCCTCTCCTAAGAAAAGCTGCAGCTATGTACTGATAAATGACGCATGGTGGCACTACCTGGCAAAACCAGTCTAGGACACCTTGTTGTTAAAGCTGCTGGCCATAATCCTGTGTTGACAGATACTATGTTATCAGATGAGTCAAGCCCCACAGAGGCTCGACTGTAGTGAGTTTATGCTTGAGGCACATTATCATCACATCTTATCCTGACAGAGCGGCTTTAAGGCTGACTGTTAGACCTGCATCTACGTACAATCTGGATCCATCTTAACACTGACAAATGAGCCCATTCATGGGCCTAAGTGGGCTTTACTAGAGATGGTCAGTCAAGTAAAGAAAAGAGTAAAAGGGTAGCCACTGTGCTATGTAAATATACTGCCATTTAAGTGCCTTCAGGCATGTTTCAAGATGAAATACTTGTTTTTGAATAACAATTTCTATCTGATATGGTTTTTCCACATAAAAGAAGTTCAGGTAGCTAGGTTAAAATCATATCCGTTCTTTCTTTCTCAATGAAAAATACAGAATTTATGAATATGCACATATTTTTCAAAATGTCTTCTACTTTACTGAAAAGTCCATTCACAGTGTATGTGCAAGTAGTCATGTTTCCCCATCAATTGTATAAATTGTTCCCCATCATCGATTAATATCTTATAACCCTTCGTGATGTCAAAAACTGTGCTCCTAAGCAGACATCTTAAGCTCAGAGTTAAGGTGAGCTCATCACTTTAAATATTAGTGTCCTTGTTACCTTGATACTGCTGGTTGACTAAACAGCAACAAGGAGTTGTGTTTCAGTTTTTCAGTTCAACATCTCCTGAAATGTGTCAAAACTATAAATGATTTAAGATGCTAAGTTCGATCTGCAAATGTTCTCTGTGAAGTATTGGTTGATTACTTTTCACCACTGCATTTACTCTTTCCCCAATAAGGCCCTTTTGAGTATGTTTGTAGTTTTATCTGCGGCAGTCTTCTTAAATGTTTGTGATAGGATCTCATCCAGCAGGTGGCGGTGTGGTCAAACAGATGAAATCTCAAGCACCAAAACCTGCTGTCTCAGTGACTAAATGTTCCCTCAACCTCACTGGAGATATTGTAAGAAGTTCTTATGGTGGATTTATGTCTTGTTAGCATGTTTTGTCTGTATGCTTGGCTGACGTATCCAGAAATGAAAGAATGTGTACTGCCTTGGTCAAGGGCAATGTGACAAAAATTATGATTTGCCTTTGATTTTTATTTCTGTTTGTGAGTTTTAAATTGAAACATTCAAGTGCCAGCATGTAATATTTTTTACCACCACAAAGAAATCTGGATATACTATTGTAGTACACAACATGGTGAACATGGTGAAGTTATAAATGTATTAAGTTATTAAAAGATGAAAACCTTGGGAAAAAATTTGAGTTTCACACAAATCAATAAAAAACTTGTGACTTTGTGTAATAACATCTGCTCAGACCACAATGTCCATAAAAACACAACCAGTTTAGGTTAAAAAAAAGTTTATTTATTGGCATCACAATACCATCACTAGGAAATGATCCACAGCCACCAATTTCTGAACAGACTAAAGCATGAAACCATGGTACTATGAGGAAAACTGATACATTTCTTTATTAACCATATATCAGTTGCACTGCTTTAAAACAGATCACTATTTATTTATTTCTGCATCACTGAGATGACACAAGCCATTTCTATGTTAGTGTCACACACCAGAATAGATGAGACATTATATGATTAAGACTCCATCCAAGTTTAGGCGGTACAACCTTTATAAATGTAACTATAAATTGTCATAGGAGTCTTCACTGTTGCAGTTAGCCTGGATGCCTTCTAACTCTCTTGTTCCCGAAGTTGTTTTTCCCGTTTGGTGCCCTGTGGCACTTTAGTGTGGTTTCTCTAGAAAGGCGTACATTTGGCTCTTCAAGGCTCTTTGAGAATGAAATAC